GGACTTTCTGTTAGCTATGATTCATTTGTCAGAGTAATGGGAGACTAGGAGAGTTTAGACAGTGGAAAAATTTGAATGATATGAGTCCTAGGAGAATATGAGTACTGGTTCTGTATGAGCAAGTCCAAGACCAGTGTGGCTGGCACTGAATCAAAGCTAAGGCGTTGGCTGCTGTGTTAGAGACTGTTGATGATGTCTCTGCTCTGTGCTGCTCAGTGGTCTTGGCTGGCTCTGTGTGTTCAGGGTATACAGCACCAAATGGATGGATCTTCACAGAACCCTGCACACAGGGAAGCCTCGTACTGATACTTACAGGGTTGTGCAAGAATCATCTGAGATTTAGTTAGTTTTGGAGTTGGTCCAGGCAAAACTGTTACACAGTCATGCTCTTTGTTTCCAAACAGCATAAGTAGTTCAGGTCTGTCAGAATTTGAGCTCAAACTCTGGGTTGTGCAGAAGGCTTTAGATTGCTTAAGGACCCATACTGGCTGTAGAAGCAGCACTGTGCAAATGCAGTTGTGCTCTGCTTGAATTAAAAAAAAAAAATTCAGCCAGACCCAAGCTGCTTCAGCAGTAAGCCTGTTTGGTTGTCCCACTGCATGTTTGATGTACCAATGCGGTGACTGGGAGTTGACGACGCTTCTGCTGCATACATTGACTATTGAGTGTGAGACATTGCACGCTGCTTTTCTTTTTCCTTTTTTCTTTTTTTTTAAATTTGGTTTGATTTGAAAGCTGATATAGTCTGTTGTAATGAGACAAAGTTATTGACCTTTTCAAATTGGTTGAAGTTCCTTTTAGGAAGATTATTGATGGAGATTAGGGCGAGGGACATTAAGGAAGCAGGTAGTGCTGTGAGAATTCCCAAATGACTTTAAAAAAGGAAGGTATTGTGTTGAGCAGTGGGAAAGGGAAATGACTTGAGGGCACAAGTTCCAGATATTTTTCATGTCTAGGCATGTAAATTGCTTTGGTATAAAGCTTTTTTTAGAAAGCCAGCAACAAAACCTGGCTCATTCTTCTCGGTATTAAGTATTTGCTCCCATTGGGAGCATTAGTGTTTAGCATAAGTTTATGCACACAAATCCTAAATAATCAATTCTTTTCAGCCTCTGTAAATATATCCCCTAAAACAGTAGCAGTATTAAATCCCATAAAACAAAATGCAGTCATATCCCTCAACAAGAAAAATAGTTAACATGTCTAAAATGATGACATCCTTGCTGAT